TTGGTTTACTTCACCACAACGAAGCAGTTAAACAGACGACAGGTCAGATGGTCGGAGACCATGGCCAATTACAATTTCAAGATTTCATATGTTAAAGGATCAGAAAATGCTAGAGCCGACGCTCTTAGCCGAAAACCAGAATACCAAGAAAATAAGTCGTACGAATCATACGCAATATTCAAGAAAGAAGGCGAATCACTGGTTTACAATGCACCACAGCTTGCAGCTACTCATATATTGGAAGACAACCATCTAAAAAACCAAATACAATCACATTACGACAAGGATGCTACAGCTATACGCATACGCAAGGCAATAGAACCAGGATTCACAATAGAAAACGAAACCATATACTTTCATGGGAAAGTATACATTCCGAGTCAAATGACCAAGGAATTTGTGACGGAACAACATGGGTTACCGGCACACGGACATCAAGGAATTGCAAGGACGTTTGCAAGAATCCGGGAAATCAGTTATTTCCCACGAATGAGAACAATAGTTGAAGAAGTTGTTGGAAGTTGCGACACCTGCATACGAAACAAGTCATCACGACATGCTCCGTATGGTCAGCTCCAGACCCCAGACATGCCTTCTCAGCCATGGAAGTCCATTACATGGGACTTTGTGGTTAAACTACCACTCTCAAAAGATCCTACTACAGGCATTGAGTACGACGCAATACTCAATATAGTAGACAGGCTAACGAAATTTGCATATATGATACCATTCAAGGAAACATGGGATGTTGAGCAACTAGCATATGTGTTCCTTAGGATCATAGTAAGCATACACGGAGTACCAGATGAGATAATCTCGGACAGAGACAAGCTCTTTACCTCGAAATTCTGGGCTACCTTATTAGCACTCATGGGTATTAAGAGAAAGCTATCAACAGCCTTCCACCCACAGACAGATGGTCAGACAGAAAGGACCAATCAGACAATGGAAGCATATCTTAGATGCTATGTAAATTATCGACAAGACAATTGGGTAGAACTATTACCTATGGCTCAGTTCGCATATAACACATCGGAAACGGAAACCACAAAGATAACACCAGCACGCGCTAACTTTGGATTCAATCCTAAAGCATACCAAACACCGATACCACAAGAAGTTAATGCCGAATCAGCAATAATACAAGTCGAACAACTAAAAGATTTACAAGAGCAGTTCGCTCTTGATCTAAGATTCATATCATCCAGAACGGCAGCGTACTACAATACGAAACGTAGTATGGAACCTACGCTTAAAGAGGGGGATAAAGTTTATTTGCTACGACGAAACATCAAAACCAAAAGACCAAGCAATAAACTCGACCACAGGAAACTAGGACCATTCAAGATTGATAAGGTAATAGGAACAGTTAATTATCAATTGAAATTACCAGACACGATGAATATTCACCCAGTATTCCACATATCCTTGCTCGAACCAGCACCACCAGGAGCGCCTAATGCGCCATTTACGGAAATCGAACCAGTTAACCCAGAAGCCATATACGACGTTGAAACAATACTAGATTGCAAATATGTCAGAAGCAAGGTCAAGTATTTGATCAAATGGTTGGATTACCCACACTCAGAAAACACATGGGAACTTAAGAAGGATCTCAGCTGCCCTGAGAAACTACAGGCATTCCACCTGAAGTACCCACATCTGCCAACAAAGCCTCGAGCTCAGCGTCAGACAACGGAGGCAACGAAGGGTCGAAGAAGTCGAAGGAAGAAGAACCACTAGGAACAGGCGCGCCTGCCTTTTCCTTTTCCAGTTTTTCATTTTCGACTTTCTCTTTCTCCAACCTTTCATTCTCCTCAGCCAGGTCAAGTTCCTCCAGCGTACGAAGATCGCGGCGAATCATTTCTTTTTCACGCTTGCGAAGGAATTCCTGTTGACGACGTAAACGAAGAATGCGAGCCGTCAATTCTTGAGATTTAGCAGACAGAACTTGCGACTCAGCAAAAGCCTTCTCCTCCTCCAGGCGAAGTTGCTCTTGCTGTCGCTCCAGAGCATCATATTGAGAGGGCATTGCGGGCCCAGGATGACAACGACCTTTCTTGAAACGAATACACGCGGAACAACGTTTCGACAGATCCTCGTCCACGAAACAATCACGACCAGTTTGAAGGCACAAAGCACAAGGTTCACGTTTGCTACCAGAACGGGCGACACGATTAGATAAAAAAGCGGGATCATGAATAGAGGTTGTTCGTGTAGGAGGCATAATGAAGAAAGAATAACACTCATTTAAAATGTATAGTTAGGTGGGGAGACCCCGCTATATAGACGCTTGGGACAAGCGCTAGTCTAGGAAGGGGATAGTGTTACGGAGGTACCCGCACCGCAACATGGATTATGAGATAAACCTAAGGCCTTGGTGTTGGGACCTACGAAAACAGCACTGTAGGGACAGTTGAATTAAAGGGTAACTAAAGATAGCGGTAACCGAATAAATAAGCAGTGATTAAAAGATAGGTACCTATCTTTTATTGGCACCTACCCCACAGTAGGCACAGGTTGCACAAAGGTTACAGATTAGCTAGTAAGCACAGGTTAAATAAGCGGTAGCCTTACCAGGTCACGAGGACAAGTGTCACGTGAAGGAAAGTCGATTCGACTTGTCGACTCGAGTAGTCGAGTAGACTTGACGATTCGATCAAAGTACGAAGGTCTATATAAGGGAATGGGTTTCATTACAATGTAGAGCTTCGTGCTCAAGAACAATCATTAGTTTCATTACTATAGTTACGAGAATTGCAACCAGTTACAACCTTATTGAATTCCTACTTGAAGTCTAGTCTAAACCACCTCGAGAGAACTCTAGACACTTCCACGTGACCCTAGAGGCAGCTCCCGTAACAGGAGGTTCTAGAACTCTTACTTTTGTAATATTATTTATCTATACAAGAATTAAATAAAACTAATCCGTTGTATATCTCTCATTCTAAAGTTTGAATTATATATTAATATATAATATTGAAACTCTCCACTTGATATTATATCAGCTTAATATTAGTATATAAACTATATATTATAGCCTTAGGTATATAATATTACCAGTTAAGCTTTCCTTATAAATTAGATATAACAAAAGTATAAATAAGCCTTTTATAAATTAAGATATAAAGTTCCTCAAATTATATTAGAAAATTCAAATACAAATTATAGATTATAATAGCTTATATCTAAGTACAACAATTTAAGTATTTAAAATAATAACTTTGAATGTAGTTTTATATAGATATAATTACTAATTAAATAGCTTATATTACAAAAAGCTATATTACAAAATAATCTATATCAAATCAATTATATAGAAATTATTACAACTAATAAATTAATAATCAATTCGCATACAAACTGTTAAGGTATAGGTAAAGACTTACATTATATCATAAGAATAGAAGGACTATAGGAGGGTGAGGCCCCACTTATAGAAAGTAGGGCATGCTAGTGGTCAATGCCTGAGGCACGAAGGCAACTACAGATCATGTAGTTGGCGCCGTGACAAACAGATTTACATAATTTAATATAATATATTAGAATATTACAATAAAATATAAATAAGTTCGAAGTCGTTCTATTATTATACTCGATTATATATATATATAAAACTTCCTATAGAATCATAATTTTATAATTATAAATTCTAAGAATGAATTAAACCCTATTAATTCAGTTTTTTAAGACATTTCGATTACAAGCTGTCATCTAGATTATATACAAGTGCTTTCGAAATAACTAATAATTAGATATTAAAGTATTTATAAAGAGCTGTTATAAAAGAATTCAATTCTACCTTAAAATCTAAAGCTGAAAGGAAAGAAAGAAATAGAAAGAGAAATGTAGAAGCTCTGACTATATACATAAAGATATGATCAAGTGATATACTCCTTTAACATGTCTTGATGAAGAGATGAAAAAAGAGAATTCGAAAAGGGATCGAATCGCTAAACAATTGAGCTACAGTCAAGCCACCAGAAGTGAGTCATTCTGTTGAATACCTAGGTATTCATAATTCAAAAACTTTCTGACCATCACAAAGCCAGTCTTCGTGGAGATTAACTGAAGTAAAAGCAGGCACGTAATACTTCTCATATGTATATATATAGTTTGAGGCTCTCTCCTTCTCCCCATTCTTTACCTTTTCTCTCTATTATCCCTGTCTTCTTAGCTTTAGATTCTAAGGGTGCGTTCGAATCGATTTATTTCGGCTTATTTCAATTATTAGACCTTATTTATTTATCAAATAATACTTACTAAACATAAATAAAAGGTTTATCGAATGTTTAAGATTATGAAATAAATTAAAATGATAAATGCTTTCAAGATTACTATACATTGACTATAAAGCAGCTTTTTAAAGCTTTATAAGTAATTCTTCAACAAATCTTCATTATTATCTACCCCTGTCATTTTTCAACATTATTCAATATTATTCAATATTACTTCAAATATATTAGCCTCAATACTCTTATCATTTTAACAATATTATAAATTTCTCTAAATAAATAAGAAAACGAACCGAATACATTCTAAGTCAAATATTAAATCCTTCTACGACCATCACTCAGATCATTCTGCCCATACAAATTAATCCTCGACATTAAAAGCGGCGGGACAAAAATAAGGGCATGCACCTCTGTAGGCTTTTTTGCCAGCCGAGCTGAAAAATAGGGTTTCATAATCAAAGGCTGGCCCTAATTCATAGGGTAGGAAACGAACTGAAGTGTTCTTGTAGGTGGATAGTAATTACCAATCCATGTCCTTAATTCTATAACTTTCCTACAATTATGCTTCTCGGCCTTATCTTTGCACAAAGTTCATTACTTCAATAATTCTTTTGACCAACTTCTCCATATGACTAAGATCCCCATAGGTCATGTTATACTACAACTAAACAGTACCATCGAAAAACGGCCTACATCTCATCCACTGGATCCTTTTCACCTAGTGACCGGTACAGAATATTCTTCATCCATAAAATCAAGTACCTATCACTCCTCATTATCGGGATTTTCGACATTTTGTGGATTTTCTTCACAGCAGACTATTTGCGATACAAAATTAGTACATGTTCATTTCATGGAAAGTGTATGACGAATCAGACCCTTCGACTTAACGTACCTATGTCACCAAGCTCCATCCATCTTTCAAGAATTTGCTCATTGTCTAACGTGGCTATGATTTCAATAATGGTCGTCTCTTCCTCATTAATAAGGTCTTCGATAGCAAGCAGGTCACTATTGATAGCTTCCCATCTGCCTGAGATCACATCAACGTTGTTTTACTAGACTACTACCTCTAATATGGATCAAGAAAGCTTACCAAGTTCTTCCTGCATCTCAGTGATTGCAGGTGCTATATCATTGATTGCATCTTGAACTCTACTTGTGGTCAAAGATGCTAAGGGCTTAGAAATGTTAGCATTTTACAATGAAATCCAAAGGAAAATGACTCACCTCAAAACCCAGCTTTGACAGAACATATTTTTCGGCGAAACCTGTGATATTCATCTTATCAACCTGCCTTTGCTCCTCAGGAGTAAACACGACAAATATTTTCAAGTCGGCAACGCTCTGGTTGATATTCTTAATACATGCTTTGAGTACCGAATTGACCCTCAGTAGATCCGTGATAATTCCAGAAGCATTATCTTTCATCCGAAAACTTAGATCTGTCCGGGGTTCGACAATAACACGAAGATTCTGACAATCTGCGAATTTTGACGGCGGATTTCCCAAGATGTCCGCCATAATTATATCCAAAAGGCTTAGGACCTCGGCTATAGAGCATCAGTATCTATTAATCCTGGTATAGTCTTGTGGTTTTGAATAGCGTACTGTAATGTCCATGTGCCTCAGTCGCGTAACTATGAAAACGCTCTCTTAGTCGCCCATACGCTGGGAGAACACTTTTCTTTAGACAGATAGTTAGTATATAGACAGCGCTGGTTTACATAGTGAGTGCTACATCAATTTTCTCGCCCATGTCTTGTAACTAATCGGCCAAATTAGTCGAAAAAACCATACAGCTTGGAGTAAGGTATGATCTCACTGCTTTATAGTTTGCAAAGAGGACTTTGGCAGCAGCTGGAACATTGTAAGAACGATAGCCCGAAGGAAAGTATTTTGATCCGCCCATCATGTAAAGATAGTTCTGGAAGTCAGGCGGGATAGCTCTACTGAGATCTTTGAATCTCTCCATGGAACTTGTGGAAATCTTCTGTCCCCAGTAACGCTTTTCGGCGTCTACAAGGCCTACTGGCTGCAAAGTGATTTGACTCATAATTGGATTTGAAAAATAATGTGATGAGAAAATGTGTTGGAGAATGTAGTCTGTCTAGACCCTTTTATCTATTTGTTGATTGTGCTTTATAGGCTGAACTTGCAGACTACAATCCAAGCTATTCGCAGATTAATGAGATAATATAGAGTTTTGGCAAATTATTTTCAGCTGAAGAAAGTTACATTTGACTTGTTTTGCGTGAAGAATGACGTTTTTCATGTTTGAATGCAGTTGACATCAGAGAAAATTGCCAATAAACGATGGGTTTCCGTAGTTCAGTGGAGATATAGTTACGGATGAGACACGATCTCACCCGACAGTGGTAGATCTTCTATCCTCGGCTAAAGGCTAGAAGCATCTAGTCAAGAGTAGTTGATCTCCTTTCCTTGACTATTACTGATTTGGTCGAGAGCACATAATCTCCTCTTCTTGGCCGAAAGTTTCACCTCAGACCCCCCCCCCTCCCCCCTCACTCTCCTCACATTTCTCATGCTGGTAGCTCCATTTGTACAATTAGTCCCCCTACACAATTGATAACTCACCGATATGAATAATTGATGTTGAAAACTTTATCTCTATGATTCATAGGTAATAACAGAATGCTACATTCCCCTCTCTTTCACACTCCCTCCACGTTCCCATCACACTCCTCAATTAATACTATCTCTCTCAGCTTCGGATAATTAAGTCCGGATGCTCTGTTTGTGTGATAAATAGATAACAAGTTAAACGTCAGTACACTAACTAAGGCGTCATATGTCATGTATAGTAATAGCTTTTGCAGAGATCTCCATGGATTATTACATTCCGAAAGGGGCTGCATGATTAGCTTTCTTCCGTTCTTCATATATAACGAATGTTGTTATGCAAGAAAAATAATCATATGTTTAGTGTAAATGTTTTTTGATGAAATTGAATATGTTGTAATGCCTATTCAAGCTAACTAAACCACAGGCAACTCGATTGGAGATATCAAATTTGTAATGATTGTGGTATGCCGTTTTCTTGTCGCACTTCGTGATCAATAAAAACATAACGAAAAGCCAAGTAAAGCCATGCTGCGGATAATACAGGGAGGAGACAACAAGAAGTGGGGAAATTCCTTGCCACTATTCATCATTTATGAATATCTTCTCTAATTAAAATGAGCACTGCCTTCCCAATACAGTTTCAAACCTGTCAAGCCGGTCAAGTCGAAGTCTTGAGGATTGACGATTTTCACTGTCCATTGCGCGAATGCCGTAGGATCAACATAATCCTGACTTCTGATAATTGAGTCCTTGATAGGAGGTATGTCGACGGTACCATCAGGTGCCATTAAATATTCGAAAGGTCGACTCAAAGGCTTGATTATGAAACCATACACTTTACCATCCTGCACATCTGCGTATACCCCAGAGGTAGAGATTCTTAGTCTCACCAGAGCCTTATTATTGGTGCCAAAGGATTTGGGTCTGGCGCCGAGAAGAAACGCACGCATACCGAAGACGCGAAATCGTGACCCATCAGTAAAGGGCCCTGTAATAGGTGGTAGGTCATGTGCATTGGGATTACTATTCGCGATGTTTGGCGAGAGCGTTATCGTAACAGAATTTGTTGATGACTGGAGAGATGTCACAACGCTATTATGATAGTCTAGTGGTAGCTGTAATATACATCAGCCTGCAAAAATCTATCACAGCCGGTCTTTTTGGGTTCACTCACCTCATTCGTCTCGATAGAAGGGACAAAAGCTAGCAGAACATAAGAGTAAGTTTGAAGCTTTTAATAATTGGGGATTTTTACTCACGTGTAAAATCACTCGAATATCTTTCTTTACATGTTGTTACTTCTTGTATAATTATTTGCGAGTCTTGTTGATATTCCTGGATGGACTTCAGGGGATTCAAGACAATCGAGCTGTCACTTAGTGTATAGTATTTATATGCCCATACAGCATCTCTCATGTAAATCATGATACTAGTGCGAAGCATTGACATCCTGTTATAGAAGTAGTTCTGTGCTTCAATCGCAGCATCTTCCTCGCCTTGATACGTATTAAGGAGCTCTTGTAGCCGAGAGGCATTGGCCTGCATCGCGTGAAGATGTAGCCGTAGTTGAAGATATTCTTGGCCTGTATAAACAGATAAAGTCAACAATGGTACCATGAGATGTCAATTGAATAGATGCCTACCGATCTTAACAGCTTGAGCTCGAGCTTGGACAAGAAGCTTCCCATCTATTGCATGTCGACGTAACTCAAGCTGGTAAGCTCCTGCACCCCTGATTGAACGTGCCACAGCGAAAGAAAGCTGCGAATCCGTCTGTAATGTCCAATCGTCCCATGCTGCAAGACTGACAATGGATGTAAGATCCGAACTAACTTGATCGTCACCTGAGACATCCCCACCCACTGGGTTTAAATTTATGTTCGGCAAAGAGCTGTTGAGAGTCTGAGCTCGAACATCAGTGACCGTAGTATTGGTGCTTGTCCATAGCTTGAAGATCGCCTCAGTCCCACTCTTGAGAGCCTTAATTGTCTCAGGCTTGACAAATGAGTTTGCTACATTTGCAGCCTCGGAGATGACTTTCACAGCAGACGCAGCGGCGGTCGGTGCAGAAGCTGCACCTGCGGGATTGCCAATTGCTATCTCACCAATGGCGAGTGCAAATCCTAGCACGCAGAAAAGATCGTCAGTAAATTTCTGCACAAATTTTCGATGTAAAAAGAATTCATCTCTGCCATTTTCATATGTGGATTGATGACGAAAGGGGGGGGGGGGGGGGGGGATTCCGTTTATGGATACAAAGATAAACAACCCCTAACGGAACAAGAGATATGTGACAAACCTACCAATGACGGCTTGGAATACATTAACAATTGTGTTGATAACCTGCTCCCTTTGCCATATCTCGACTCCTAGCCTGAAGTCACTCTCTTTGTCCCTGAGAACAAGCTGATGAGCCCTCAATGTGTCTTCTGCGCTGTTCAAGATGTCCGTGGCGCTATCCCATCTGGCTAAGGCATTGTTGACGAGAGTTTGTTGGAGATTTACAGCATCATTGGCTTGATTAAGCATGGCGCTCCACGCAGCTTTTTGATCCGCAATGGTAGCCTGGCGATCTGAGAACCGATTGTATTGGGCTTCAAATGCAGATGTTGTTGATATAGCCCCATCGAGAACCATTTTGTATGTATTGAGAGTCAAAACTGGTGCATAGTTCATGTTTGGCCCAGTCAAAGCTGATGCTGAAATCTGCTGTCCCAAAGCATTTGCTTGAAGGTTTAGAAGAGCCCCACTGCTAGATGAGGCAGTTGCTCTAGCTACATGGGAAGCTAAAGAGAGTGCAAGCTCTGGCTTGATCCAGAATAGAATCGACGCAATACGCAGTTGGGTGACCAAGGATTTTCCAAACTCCGAGTCGGACATTGAAATGTCAACATATCTGCGCAAGTAGGTCGTAGTGGCCGATCCATCCTTGAGTAATACCTGTGCTCCAAAGTTGCCTGAAGTTGGGGAAAGATCGAGCTGGACAGGGGGACCCGTACCGATTTTATAAGAAACTGGTTGGTCGAAGGTTGATCCGTAAATGAGAAAGGCGGCTTGATCGCCAGTTGTTGGATTGAGTGTGAGGGTAAGAGGTCCAGATGCTGATAAAACTCGACAGACAAGCTTGATGACACCAAATCTTGGAACCGTGATGGTGAAGCTGGGAGATGGAAAGGCAAGTACGTCTGCGTAGAGATTAATGGTTCTGGAAGCATTAGATTCAATAGCTGTTTGTGCATTAACATATATGTCTCGCTGAAGATACTATGATTTATTAGAAAAGTATGCAACTGAGAGTTGTCCATGAAACCTACTTTGTTGCTTCCTGCTACCAGCTTTGACTTCTGAGGTAAGTCTGGTAGAGAGTACGATTCAGAATATTGTTTCCACCCATCGGGGGTTTTCGGGATATAATTTCTGGAACTCATTTTTAATGATTTGATAAGTAAAAACCCGTTTCCTGGATGACACAAAGAGTGAGTACGCTTTTATTTGAAGTCTTAGGGTCTATGGTTACTCGAGAAAAATAGCTTTCTTACAAAAGTTGGATATGTGCAATACAACTGCTGTACTCGTATCGTACGTTTTGCATCACATCATAGCTTGCAATGTAATGAATTATAGATGGTAGAAGTCTTCTTGGCTCAATAATAGAGCTTCCAACCTTTTAGCAAATAACTTTCTTAAATTGTAATATGTATGCATTAGCTCCATGCTGCTGTATGATTTACCTATTTCATTTAATCCTGCCGTTTGGTGTATGCCATTCACAAGTGACATAGCGTCATGACTCATGTCTGGTGTATGCCATGCACAAGTGACATAGCGTCATGACTCATGTCTGTAGAATGAGAGAATGATGGAGGCTTTCTCTTGATCTACTCAAGGTTATTTTATTATGTTCGGATCATCTCGTTCCGCTGTTACACTTCAAGCATTTTCTGCATATGCAGTGACGTTTCGTTAAGGTTAAAGTTACTGCAGTTCCCCGCTAGCCTCCACAAAACCTTAGCACTAACCCCCACTAACCCCCAACTAACCTAACGGTTAAATTTCCTTCTCAACTTGTATTTTTCCTCAAGCTCCGTATCCTTTCACGCTCTTAGGCTCCTCCATATATACTACCCTTTAGCTTCTATCTTTTTTGCCACTCAAGTCAAAAACAGTCTTGTTGCATTCAATACTAGCTGATCATGAGCAGATTTTTTGAAGATAAGCTCTATCTAGAATTTCTATTGGCTCCGAAAAAGGCTATTAAGAATATGCACTTCGTAAATATCTGTATCCAACTGCCTTATTCTAACTTCCCCTCACCTTGGAGCATAAATTTGATGGGATGAATATGTATTCGTCTTCTTTAAGTTATATTCGCATGCGTATTCATGTACCTTAGTCCGTGATTGTTCTTCCTCGCATATTCAAGTGTTCTTGTGACGTTCTCATGGGGTAAAATGATAACGACATTCATCTTCCCCTTGCAATTGTCGTATTTTCTCTTCCCCGGCGTGGTTGGGATTTCGTCAGTGGCATCCTTTTTGTCTTATTTTCCACGATGCAAGGTGCAAGATTTGGAACAACCGGTCGGAGATCCGTATCTGGGTGGTCTTGCAAATTCGAATGAATTTAGAAGTAAGAGCACATGTTTGAAGTATAAGGTTACTTGACCAAAACATATATCTTTGAGACATATCCTTCTTTCTTGCTCGACAATTTAACTCCAAGAATACGAAAACATCATCACCTCATTCAAAAACGACGGTCTAAAGGTCCTAATAACCCCTCAAAACTTAAACACCATGCCTGCTACAGCGAAAAATCCGACTATCCTTCAACCAAAAGGTCTGATCGACGATAAAGGCAACTATGCCTTGAGTCAGGGAGATATCTCGAACCTTCTCAAGTATATCGTAAGCCCATCCTACTTCAATTCAATGTATTTAGCCTCGGGTTTGGTCACATAGGTAATGGTTGAGAAATTTGAAATGCATGCACTCCTTTTCAACAGGGCTTCTAAATTTGCTTGGAATTCGTTATTTCTATCGTATACCCTCAGGAAAATGCTGATGATGAATTCATAGTGGACTGGTGCCCTGCTTTCCACGTCGAAAGAAGAGTATCTTCTCCACACAGGTATCAATGCAGACGAGTATGACCATCTCAGAGAATATATCGACCCCCTTTTAGTGGTTTACACTGCTGTAAGTATAACCAACTCTCCAAGCCTATAGGTACTGATTGTTTGAAGTGCAAAGGGCATTGCGTGACCTTCAAGGATGTCACATACCGAAAGGTTGTAGATTTGTCCAATGCTGTGTATAGCTATGCCGGGAAAGCAGGCGGCAGATTTGCGGGTTCATACTATGCGAACATCATTTCCAATACAATAATCGTTTTTAATGAGTTGGAAAAAGATTACGATGACCAAGACCAAACACTCATCAAAAACTCAAAGAGTATAGTCGATTCTTTGGTTAAGGCGCAACTTAAATCCATTACCAAGCTACAAGACGACGCCAACAAGGTGGTGCAAGATCTTCGAGACTTTGAGACCCTGGCAAAAGCCGATCAGCTGGCTCTTACAGCTAGAAATAAGATAATCACTGACAAATTGACCGGCGAAGGTGGGGATATACAGAGGCTTCAGGATGACATTAAGACCAAGACCAAGGATATCTCCGATGATCAGGACGAATACGAGCAAGGTATGCGTTCCTTTCAAATAACGAACAGGGAAAAGAAAGACTGACACCTCCAGATATCGTTATTGCTGCAACTTCAGCCACATACGCTTGGGCGTGAGTTCTTTCGCAGACTTGTTCGGCTGTTTTTGGATATTCTATCTGACTCAAAATCCTACAGGATTCCAGTTGGGCCTATCATAGCAGCTGTCATTATCGGCGTTTATACCGATAGGGCCATCAAAATGAAAGCAAAAATAGATGCTCTCAGGGACCTTCTTACGGACGACCAGGATCAATTAAAGGCAGACAGGCAGCTAGTGGCAGATTTGACCTTAATACAGGTAATCTTGAACTTCCACCAGCCATCTATAAAATAAATTTCTTTGCTTCTGAGATCACTAACTCTCTTATTTCTGCAGACCGACTTGCAAAACGTAATAAATCAGATTGGCCCGGCTATCACCACCATTCAGAAAATGATAGGAACTTGGGGCGCCATCGCTACCGATCTCGAAGATATCAATACAGCCGTGAAGGAAGACTCCCCGGAGGTCATGCCAGATTTACAAACCATCACACAGGAGTCCATCCTCTCTCAGTGGAATGATCTAAAGGCGACAGGTATGTCGTCAACACCTTTCATCCATTTTTTGGTTCTATGTAACTAACCACTGACTCGATATAGTGGACGTATACCGTAAATCCGCTTATATTAGTAGCGCCCCCGAGCAAATGACACTCGAAGAGTACTCCAGCATGCTTCAAGCTGCAATTGACAATTGAAAGATTTTGGTGGGATGTTTGTTTTCTGGGTTGCCATTACATTTGATGCGCGCATCTCTCTAGCTTATTCATGCCCATTTATGTCAGTTTGTTCATTTCCATTACTGAATATGATTGGAGGACGTTTATAAAGATGGTACATCGAATTCATTGATTATGTTGCGGAATTATAGCCGCCGAGGTTAAGCCTCGCGCGTACCGAGGCCGATTTAGTCGATATGACCAAAACCCTAAAAATAGATTTCTGCCTAATGAAAAAGTGTATTTAGTATTCAGGAATATGTAAATAAAAATCAATATCACTTGTCACTATATTACTTTTATAATTCAATACTCTTTCTTCCTTTTAGACTTTATAAATATTAAACTTTCTTTAAATTTTTCTTATTTATTTTATATAATTTCATTTATATAATTATAATAATTTAATCTTAGATTTTATTAACTTAATATAAAGAATCAATTTATAAATAATATAATAAATAATATAATATTTAATATATTAAATAATTTTTTTTTAAATTCAATATTGAAATTAAAATTATGGAAATATTAATAAATAATATAATATTTAGTATAATATTTAATATGATATTTAATATAACGTAACGTATGGGGAACTCGGACATATGGGGAACTCGGACACTTTTAGCCCATCACCAACTTGAAACCGCAATAACTTTTATTATGCATACCCAATCACCTTCTACATCTGCTCAAATTGAAGAGAAGCTTCAAAAGGCTATAATTTCACTTCAATTGAAAGAATTTAAATCAATTAGAAAGGCTGCAGAGCATTTTGAAGTCCCTAAGTCTACCCTAGCTGATAGGCTGGCTGGGAAGAAAACACGTTCCCAAACCCACGAAATGGCTCAAATTCTTTCAAACGCAGAAGAAAATACTCTTGTACGATGGATTTCACGACTTACCATCACTGGATTCCCTGCTACACCTATGTTGGTGAAGGAAATGGCCGACGAAATTCGTCTTCGACGCGTTCGGGTCGCGTCATCTCGAAATCCTACCTCGACAGAAATTCCACCTATAGGCCACGAATGGATCTATAGATTCCAAAAACGACATCCAGAACTTAAAACATGCTATTCACGTCAATTAGAGTCTAATCGGGCTAAAGAAGCAACTCCGGAGAATATTCAGGCTTGGTTTGACGCGTTTCGCACGCGTCTCATTGAGCGAAAGTATGAATTAGATGATATGTATAATATGGATGAAACCGGATTTGGAGTTGGAAGTACTCAAAGTACGCGCATTATAGTCGATTCTACTCAGAAATCGAATTGGAAAGTTACAGCTGGCAAGCAAGAATGGATAACTGCATTTGAATGTGTCAATGCAGCTGGAAATGCTCTATCACCTATGGTCATTTTCAAGGCTCAGAATACGAATTCTGCATGGATTCCAAAGGACACACCTCAAAGCTGGCAGTTCTCTACTAGTACAAATGGATGGACCTCAAATAGCCATGGATTAGAATGGTTAAAAAGGGTTTTCGAACCAGAATCCAAGAAAGTGTCAGGTGACCGACCTCGACTTTTGATCATGGATGGCCATTCAAGCCATATTACAGGTAGCTTTATTGCTTTCTGTATAGATAATGATATTGATTTACTTATATTACCTCCTCATTGCTCTCACTTGCTTCAGCCACTTGATATTGCGGTGTATGGGCCAATGAAACGATATCATGCTTTAGAGGTCGATCGATATTCTCGAGCTGGTGTAAAGCGAATCCAAAGAGCTGAATGGGTAGAACTCTTTCAAAATATTAGAAAAAAAGCATTGAATTCTTCTAATATTAAAGCTGGCTGGAGAGGAGCTGGTTTAGTACCTTTTGCCCCACGAAAAGTACTCGATTCATTACCATTTAACTCCTCCCAGCAACCTTCTACTCCACAAATGAGAACCCCCAATCAAGACCTAGACTTGTCTATACTCAGGAGTTCTCCTCCAGATGGAACAGAACTAAGGCAAGCAAATCAGATCTTTAATACAGCTCTAGCAAGCAGTGGTTCTCCTGCATCGCCAACTCGTCGATATGCCAAGAGAATGACTAGGCTTGTAGAATCTCAAAATGCTGAGATAGCCCTACTTCGGAAACAGCTCTCTGATGCTCAGGAGGTAATTGAGACTCGAAAGAAAAGAACTAAAGGCAAAAGAGTCAAATTACAAGGTCAATTTGTCTTTAGTACTAAGGAAGTATTGAAAATGGTACGTGAGGCGGAGGAAAAACCGAAGGAGGAAAAGCCACGAGGACGGCCACGCAAACGCCCAATTGAAGAATCAGAAGAAGAGATTGAAGAAGAAGAGCTAGAGAATAGTTCAAGTGATTCGGAATTGGAATTGGAGGATTGTGTGGCTCGTAGAACAAGATCGCGTGTAGAATAATTGAAAAAGTGTCCGAGTTCCCCATATGTCCGAGTTCCCCATACGTTACGTTATCAAATAATTGAATTAAATAATTTGAATATAATAGTAAACTTAAATATATAATATTGTTCTTTTTATAGTATACTTGAAAAACTATTGATTTGTAACTTTTATACCCATTTAGTATTAATATTCGATATTTGCTCTTTTTTTCGATTTTTAATATACTTATTAAAGTATTTCAATTATTCTAAATCTGTTTTATTGTTTATTTATTCATTAGATATAGATTTAATAACTTATTTTATAGAAAGATTAGTTTTAGTATATTAATTAAAGAGATGAATCTATTCCTAAATCATTAGAAATAAGAAAATAATTTCATCCTCTTTATTTCTATATATTATTATTATAGTCTATTTTTAATTGTTTAATTATATTGATTTACTTCTATTATATCTTTTAGTATTAATTATAATCATTCTGGGGTATATTATATCTATTATAAAGTTTGTTTCATTAAAGTTATAGAAATCGCTATCCAAAATGCTGAATTTCATTTGTATATTTATAATTAATTGAAATCAATATTTAATAAACTTAAAACCTTTATAAAAAGCTTTTTAAAAGTTATAAATATCATTAAAATATATTTTTAATTTGATTTAATGTTTTACACATCAATATATTTAAAGCTTTTTAATATGTTTTGTATTTTTCGATTTAAGAATATAATTTATTATATTTTCTACTCCCTTAAATTTAAATGAAAAACCTTTTGAATTTATATTAAGAATATATTAAATAATGATTTCCTTTTTAATTCTATAAGTTTATATCGATTTACTTGAATTTCAGGATATAAAATTAAACTATTCATTTTATAGATAAGGGTTATACAAGGGATATTATATAGTTAAAAGGTCTTTCGAAAACTTAATTTTTTATCGTTTTCGATAGTTTTAATAGTTAAAAGTAAATGTACTTCTTTATTATTAAATTATATAATAAATGATTGATAAATCGCATATTAAAATTAGTTATATTTATTAAGGTGAAAGTGGTTCATTTAATGATATAATCTATTCGATGATAAATCACGTTAAGTATAATTTAATATTTATATTTCATTTATATATAAATAATTTCAATAGAGTTTTTATAAATTATTATAAGTTTAATAATTAATTAAAGTTTTATTAAAAAAAGAATTTAAATATATAAAAAGTATAAGTGTTGTTATACTTTTTTTTGTTTAATCTATTATATAATATTAATATTATAATTTTAAGATAAGTAATATTATATATAATTTTAATTATTTTATAATTAATAACTATTATAAACTTGCTTTTAGTTTTATATTATCTTTAAGTTTTAATGAGAGATTAATAGGCTTTGAGATATATAGTCTTTTTATAAGAATAATATTCGAATATAAGTAAATTATAGATTGGAATAATAAGTTATAATTAAGTATAATTATTAATAAGTAGATATTTCTTTTTAAATAAAAAACAAAATTATTTTAAAATATAATTTCAAAAACGATTTTTCTTCTTTCCAAATATAAAAGTATTTTGTTTAATAGATTTCATAAAAATATTAAAAGTTCAAACTTTATATTTTATAAAAGAAACTATATAAAATTACTATAAGAAAGTATAAAATAAACTAACAATACTTTAAACGTTATTAACCTATATTTATAATCAAACAATTTATTTTTATAAAAATTAAAATATTTATACTTACTTTATAAACAAATATACTTATATCTTTATTATATTAATATTATATTAAGATTAATAAACAATTCCTCTTTTCTTATTCTTTCTCTTCCTATTAATATTAATATTAAAACTCAAGATAATATAATTATTACTTTTATAAGATTATTCTTATTCTTATTAAGAGAATTAATCAATTAGAGACTAATATACTCTAAAAGTCAATATAAATAAATTAACATTAAGATTAATATATATAAACATAATAATAGTATTTATAATTCTGTTACGGAGGTACCCGCACCGCAACATGGATTATAAGATAAACCTAAGGCCTTGGTGTTGGGACCTACGAAAACAGCACTGTAGGGACAGTTGAATTAAAGGGTAACTAAAGATAGCGGTAACCGAATAAATAAGCAGTGATTAAAAGATAGGTACCTATCTTTTATTGGCACCTACCCCACAGTAGGCACAGGTTGCACAACGGTTACAGATTAGCTAGTAAGCACAGGTTAAATAAGCGGTAGCCTTACCAGGTCACGAGGACAAGTGTCACGTGAAGGAAAGTCGATTCGACTTGTCGACTCGAGTAGTCGAGTAGACTTGACGATTCGATCAAAGTACGAAGGTCTATATAAGGGAATGGGTTTCATTACAATGTAGAGCTTCGTGCTCAAGAACAATCATTAGTTTCATTACTATAGTTACGAGAATTGCAACCAGTTACAACCTTATTGAATTCCTACTTGAAGTCTAGTCTAAACCACCTCGAGAGATCTCTAGACACTTCCACGTGACCCTAGAGGCAGCTCCCGTAACAAATTCAAACATTTAAAAGAATATATCTTTATTAAGAGTTGCTCAGAATAAATCTTTTTTTTATAAATAATATTGAACTAATACAATTCACTTAGAAAGATATTAAATTATAAGGTATTATTTAATTGATTACTAAATAGTTATACAATTATATAATAAATTATAAAAAAATATAACACTTTATTATAAAAGAACTATAAGAATAAGATACAATTTATCCTTAGAATCTACAACTATAAAATCAAGAGTAAAGTGCTTATAAAGTATATCTATATATTAGCTATATATATATAATTATAGTTACATATACATACATACGTATATTAGTAATCGTAGTTACGATTGAGACCGATTCGTAAAAATATTAATTAAATCGAATGAAGAACTAAAAAAGTAGTATTTATATAGAATAGGTTAAGGGCTTTTAAATGATATAATTATTATGATTCTGACTTCAAGTATAAGTCTTATATAAAGAATTAAAGTTTTTATATAGTGTTTTTAAAGCGAATTAAAGATTTTCTTAATATTATTAATAGTACGTATATAGTATATACTATATATAAATACGTACTTGTGTAAATACATCTATATCTTAATATTAATCAACTTTATTAAATTAGGATATTATTATTATTATTATTATTATTATTATTATTATTATTATCATTAAAAGAATTAAAAGAATTAAAAGAATTAAATATTACGGAGAATAGCTACGCCACTTGATTACTTTGAGTATAGGGAATGATAAGAATAAGTTATAATAAACTAGAATTACTTGAGCTTTGATTATAAAGATTACACCTAATATTTATACCCTGAATAAGCTCCTTCGTCGCTTATTTAGATCAAGTATAGATTAATAATATACTAACGTAAGAGTTTAATAATTAGTATACGCTGCACGGAGTTTTCCGTGACATTGAAAGAATTAAAAGGAGGTGAATCAACTTCGCCTACAAGGTCTTAATATAACTACTACTCAAAATTATATTTAAAATTTTATAATAATAAAAATTATTAAATAATACTTTCTCAAAAAGCAAGGGGTTCGAGGGCTCGCAGACCTCTCTTATATTTGTAATATAATAATAAAGCTTATATTAAAGAATAAATCGAGAGTAATATGTTTTAAAAAAGGTGTATTTCATTTTAAATTTTCGATTAGTTTTATTCACTTTTTAATTTCTATACTTAATTTCTTCTCTTCTTTTTTCTTTCTTTTTAATCTATATATATATATATTGGGTTTTTATTTCTTTTTCTCATCTACTTCACGCATGGTCTTAGCATAGCTAGTTAGACCGAATCGATTATGAATTTACTACTACTATATATATATTCTTCTATCTATCTTTTCTTTGACTTTAATATTAAAAGATTTTAAAATCTTTAAGGTTCTTTAAAGCCCTTCATTTTCTTTTTTCCTATAAAATTTTAATAATAAATTTTTTTATTTTAAATTGTTGAAACACATAACTAGAAGTATAATATTATATATTACACTTTACCTTATATATATATTCTGTATATAAGTGAGGATAGATATTCATATATATTAGTAATTCCCTTTTTATATAAAAAGATTAACAGAAATAAATAATCCTTTTTATTCATATATATTATATATATATACTTTACTAAGTCTGTTTAATATAAACTAATTCTATTTATTACTAATAAAGTAAATACTTTATTTATAATGAAAAGAATATTAATATTATGATATATATCTTAAAAATTTATGTGAGGATTCATATTAAATTTCTTTTCGTTAATAATATTAACATTACTATTATAGGGCATTATACTATGTATAAAACAAGAATATTAAGTCATAAATATTAAAAACAAATCCTATAATACGAAACAGAATCAAAGAGAGAGAAGAAGAGGTGAGAAAGGGAAGAAGAACTTTTTTTTTGTTTTTCACAAAGATGAAAGAAGTATTCATTCACATATATTGAACTTTACATTGTATGCCCCGAAGTCAGATGGGTCTAGGGATTCCACACAGTCTAAACTTCTGGGTTTGTCGGCCCCTTTCACCTTTTCAAACGCCAAAGAGTATTTCTCTTACCCACATGAGCGAGATCTCTAACGACTTGTCTAAATCAATAAATATAATGTCCTAATAGGAATGAGACATTCTGAAGGGTGGAGTTCAATCTACATCACAATAGCAAGGTATGAGGAGGAATCAAAGGATTCGTTTAAGATATTAGAATATCGTCGGAGAGCATGTTTGTCATCACATATTCTATGAAAATCATGATAGAATCATATGTTTTCTATTATCTGTTACGCTGCTGTTAGTGTTCCCCTAAAACTTGAAGATGTTTATTCAACATCTACTCTTTTGTTGGTTATCACGTGACTAAACGGTACACAGACTGGGATTCATCGGATCTCCTGCACCCCGCATATGCATTGTGCTGCATATGCACCCTTACTGCCATTTAGTTCTTATGGACAGGCATTGGACAAGGACAGCTCCGGCTTACCTCGCATAGCATCCATATAAGGAGAAGTTTCAGATTCAGATCTTTACTTGCACTCATACCTAGAACAATATCTCTTAGTGAATTAGTAGTGATTGAATCATTAACGGCATAGTTTCAAAGAATTTCAAAGATTCCTGCGGGTAGATGGTTAGAATCTAATCTGGTTTGTAATGCTAATACGGCAGGCTCGAAAAGGTTATGCACTAGTCTGTGAGGAAGCGAGCCTGCCTACAATTCTTAAAGCTGGGAATTTGCTGGAAACACAAGCACAAACACAAACAAACACACACGCACATGTACAGACACTACCAAACTTATTCATCATCGAACACTACAATAAACTCACCTTCTATGTCTCCATCACAAATAGCTATCAAAGTTCTCACAATTAATTCAAGAACTTCATGGTTCATTGTAGCCAAAACCATCTACGCCCATCTTTGACTGGCCATCCTATTCGAAAATGCATCGTTTCTGCAATTTCGTCTCTCGGTCAAAGTTGTCAAAATGGAGTATTGAGAAACTTCGCCAACCATCCCACCCAGGGTCTTCTCTTTCGTCTATGAGGTTCTTCACTATCGATGTGGATAGTGAGACACCAACCAAGGTACACCTCACTCTATTCTCAGTCTTTCCCTGTTTCATCTTCATATATCACTACTCTACATTCCACTCTTTCAATATCACCGCTCTCATCAATTCAAGCTACTACTTGCACATTGTTGTTTATTTTCTTCCATGCCATTCAAATACGATCATGAGCTGATCCTATACTAACAATCATTTCAGAACAACTTTGAACAAGATTGCCTCCTCAAATATCAAGGTCGGATCCATCTTCCATCCAAAAAGTTCGAGAGAGTCCCAGCAGGGCAAGGTTTACTCTGTGAAATATTCCCGGATACCCCCAAAATAATCTCCAGGAAACTATCAACGGAAGAATGGGATAAACACATTGATATGTACTCGGGTGAATCATTTATCACAAACAATTCGGAGCCTTTCGATCGCCAAAGCCAAATGCTGCTCGGCCTACACACAAGAATAAGCAAAGCCGCTCAGGCACTCGAGGAAACGAAAACAACATGGGAGAAAGAAAGACGGGAAATCAATATAGGAGAGTTCATCAAGGCCAAACAATTCCTTTCTAGACTATCGTGTAGAGGAATTGCGAAGTTTCGGATGAAATTATCAGCACAAGAGGAGACACTTGCAGAGGAGCGAAACAGGAATGCTCACAGGCTTGATTTGTTGATATCAATTAAAGAAGTCGCCAAGTACGAGCACTTGAATTTTGGTCTGGTTTTCCAGGCCCTCTATGGAATTTCTCGGGAGGAAGTCAAGCATCTGTTAAAGATGGACAAACGCTGCAATGGAATATTTCAAGTGGAGAGTATTGTGGAATGCCATGGAACGCTCTATGCTCGACAGATACCCAGCAGATTTCTCCAACCATTCAAACAATGGTTAGAAGGAGTTCGAAAGGTGAAATCTCAAATCGATAATACAGTAGGACTGGCCGCCTGTCAAGGACATACTGTAACAACATGTTCAGCATTGATTTCTAGGGTCGATGACAAACTTCTCCAAGAAGTCAAAAGATTGAGTCAGGTTTGCAAAGAGATGTATGAGAGTGACAACAGCCACCCAGCCAAGAGAACCAATGCCCACAATGAAGCAATCATAGGGGATCTAAGAGAAAGAGAGCTTTTGTTAAAGTTTAGGGCACTCTAGACAAGGATTAAGTAGGACAAGTTGAAACAGGATAGTGCGAGTGTGGATGTAGATGCGGAAACACATTTGAAGTAGGAGAAAGTAGTACCAACGAGTTTGTGTTTGGAACTGTAGTTGATGGAGTAGGAAATAAGAGAGGAGCAAGAGAGGTGAGGTTGAAGCATTTGTTGGTATTGTGGCTTAGGGTGTTCTGAGTGGTGCGATTTCATGGATCCAGAGAGCGATTCCATAGATCATGAAGAGAAGCAGTATTTGCTAACTAAAGGGCCTTTTTACACACAAACCCAACTCTTCTAATAGATCATTATGACAAAAGCAATTATTGAATTTTCAGAATCTATAGTGATAGAATATACCCAAGTACTGGTGACAGAGAGAACGGCTTGTATTTCATGAATAGATTGCACAAGTATTGTATATTCCCACAGGCAATCTACAAATAATCTACTCTACAAATAACCGATCAAGAACGTTGCTCTAAAAATACCCACAGGATTCATTACCTGCTCTGCAAATGCCCATTGCGCAGCTTATTCATGGAAACATCAATACCCAAATTTAACTTCGTGTCTCATCATTGTGTACTTAAACTCTAACAAATTACTTGGAGAACCATTGTAACTTGTCAGCATGCATGATTAACCGTGATATGAATAGCGTCTTCAACAAACTTCGAAAGTTCTGGAATTACGGTTTCGGATCGCTTCCATTAAATCACAACAGCACTTATTGCCATCCTTGCCAGCTTGTTAACACAGTTCTCAGGATATTTAATGTGAAAATTAGACCCGTGTGTGATATTCTGTCGTGGAAGTTGGAAGTATGCCTTGTGTATTTGCATGATAAGCGAACACCTCCGACATATTTCCTCAATAACCGTAGATATTGCCATGAGTGCGCAAAATTCAGAGCATCTACACTAGGTCGGTAGACCGTACCATTGCAGAGTCAATTTCATTTCTGTCCGTAAGTGAATCTTGTTCTCACCACAAAGGAAGTGAAAAGAAGCACTGAACAATGCTTTGTCTCTTGTGGAACAACAAAGCGAATAAAGAATGCAAAGGAATATACAGAACAGCCGAAAGTATTCGTCAAATGTAGGAACATTGCCAGAACAACTCAATGAGGATGCCTATAAATGCAGTCATGTTATCCATCGTATGTCTTTCTATCCACTCCAGTTCAAACTCATCAACACTACAACACCCAATCTTCCAGCAACGCCAACCAAAGCTTCAACATCATCTCTAGTATCATTCTTTATAACAGGAAAGATCCAATCAACCAGCAAGATGTGTATTCACAAGCGTATGATCTTCATTCAGTGCGGCCACACCCGCTGGGGCAGTGAAGTAAAAGCCTGTAATCAAAAACTTGCCTCTGACACATCGCCAACCACATCTATTGATTGCGACACAATGTATTCTCACCCAATGCATACTGTCAAAATCACCGAGGTGTGCAAGACATGTGAGATCAAGAGAAGTAATACAGATAGAACCACCGAGAAGTTGAAGAAGGCGTTGAAAGACATTAGAGAAAGTGTCACGAGAATGGAGAAGATGCAAAGAGTGGTCGAGACCACAGAGAAAGCTGAGGTTGAGACCGCAAAGAAAGCAGAGGTTGATACTGATGATGATGAAGATTTGGCAGCCTTAGAATCATGGGATTGAGAGACCTCTGGTAGGTCAGGGAATCATGGGATTCAGCCAGATCGCTGGCAGATCTTATAGAAGAGGAGGATCGGTAACCACCGTAAGCCCACATTGGTCTTGCTGAGCAATACAAAATTACATTGAAAACAACCAAAACAAGAATCCAGAATATTACAGTGCAGATAGATATGACAGTGAATGGGATTCAGTCCTGAACATGAGAAACGCATTGATACAGACTGAAATATTACTAGCTCGCTTTTTCTTAAGAGAATCATTTGGATATGAGAATGAAAGGCCCACCCAGGTGACTTCACATGTGCTCTGCCAATGTAGGCCATATTTTCATATTTTGTTCATCGACCACATTGCTGAAGATGTTGGTGTATGTTTTCTTTTGGGATCTACTTCCGCTGATCCAGAGTCTTTTTGATATAGTACATTGATCCCATCCCAACATATAGAACAGGCTGTGTTACTAATGACAACAGCTTGCAACGCATATCTGCAATATACTTGCAGAATAATCCCACAGTGGCCTCCCCTCAATCCTGAACCCATTCACACTCTGGTCTTAGATTCAATTCCAGACAACCGAAGAGAGTACATAATCTTAATACCACAAGATCGAATTTAACCCTCAATTTCCTCCACTGTCTTGACTTTGAGCTCGGCAATCCTCAATATAGTGTACTTGTGCTTGCTCTTCACGGTCTTTGTTTTTCTATTTCTCCTTTTTGTCTTTTCCTTGATCCTCATTGGTTCGGCTTCGGTGCCCATAACTCTCGCTCTGCATTCAAATATCCTCTCATCAAGGTAAGGCGTCCCTTTCAATGTGTAATCTCTAGATCCAATACTTGAAGCGGTGTTGAGGCGGAGAACATCGCCAGGAACCACGCCGGGCATACGGAATGGAAGTCGTACTGTATCTCCTACAGTTACAAGGTATGGCCGACTGTAAATGTGTGTGGTTATGAAGTGCGATTGTTGGGCAGTGAGGAGGGGAAGCATCTGCATGACTGAAGGAGAAAGCGATAGCGGGGTGACGTTGGGACAGGGCGCGACTGGTGCCGAAGATGCGATTGAGGATTTCTCTGGCGTTAATGTTGCTGCGGATAATGGGCTAGCATGACTGCTCTGAATGGGTGATTCGACATGTTGTGCTGTAGAGTTGAAGAACCGTGCTCGGCTTGGTAAAAGGAAGGTGGGTAGAAGTGTTGCACTTGGTATCCGTGTGTCCAATAAGGACTTTCTCATTGTTCTACTAAACATCTTGAGGGCGAGAACGTTGTATATTCGATCAAGTCTTTGATATCTGAATTCTACATTGAACTTGTTGAAGCTTGAATTGTGATGACTAAGCACGATTTTATTTTTGCGCTAAGAAATTTGTTATCGATAATCATGAGCCTCGACCTAACAATTTTTTTGAGCTTGTAAAATTCCACCATCACCCATTATAATAATTCAACATGGTACGTCTGGAACTGTTGATCAATACTGAAAATACTAATTGATCATGAATAGCCTCAAAATGAGTATATGGAAAGATGGCGCAAGCTACATGGTCGCCGCCTCGACCATGAAGAGAGATCGAGAAAGAAGGCAGCAAGAGAAGGCCATAAAGCTTCTGATGATGCCCAGAAATTGACTGGTCTACGTGCGAAATTGTATCAACAGAAGAGGCGTCATGAGAAGATTCAAATGAAGAAGCAAATCAAGGCTCACGAAGAACGAAATGTGAAATCTTCTGCGCCAAACGAACCTTCGACCAAACCCTTGCCACAATATTTACTCGATCGATCGAACCCTACCAATGCTAAAGCTTTGTCGAGCGCAATCAAGAACAAGAGAGCAGAAAAGGCTGCTAAGTTTAGTGTGCCTTTACCTAAAGTCAGAGGTATCGCAGAGGAGGAAATGTTCAAGGTGGTGAAGACTGGAAAGAAGACCGCGAAGAAGAGCTGGAAGCGTATGATCACGAAGGTATGCCGTTCTGATCCATTGATGGGTAGCAATCCAATATGCGATGATATGCTGATGTTGATTTCTTTAGCCAACTTTCGTTGGTCCCGACTTCACAAGAAGACCTGTTAAATATGAGCGATTCATTAGACCTATGGGGTTACGTTATAAAAAGGTATGTTGTTTCTACTGCGCTCAGCCTGGCATGGAGATTCTAATTACACACAGGCAAACGTCACTCACCCAGAGCTCGGTGTGACTGTACAGCTACCTATCATCAGTGTTAAGAAGAACCCACAGAATCCAATGTACACCCAATTGGGTGTTCTCACTCGAGGTACTATCGTTGAGGTCAACGTGTCTGATTTGGGTCTGGTTACAGCTGGGGGAAAAGTCGTTTGGGGTAGATGGGCACAGATTACTAACAATCCTGAAAACGACGGATGTGTTAACGCGTAAGTTTATGTCCGTCCAACAAAGATTATAGAAACTGACTCTGCCAGTGTCCTTCTCGTCTAAAAAGTTCATTCTGTCATTAAATCTGCATTCACGCATGGTGTTTAGGCGTTGTAAACCCGGAAATAAAGAAAAGGCTAGTGTGATCGCTTTCAAATCTAGATGAAGGAGGCTGGCTGTACGCCGTTTGGTCAGCGAAAACCAAGTAAAGTTAACATTATAATAAGAATTTATTTTCAAATGATTTTAACATCAAATCTAACTTAGTCTATCGATGAATTATGTGATAGATTATGTGATTGTTGACACTAGGATTTAACGCGTAACCACTTTAGGCAACCAAAGTAAGCCCTTAATTACTATCTCTGAAATCCATATCTTGTAACTTTCGTTGAACACAATCTTTATTCCAACATAGAGCAATATGTCATTAACGCCAGCACAAATTGAGGCAAGGGAGCTTCTAGCACCTATCAAATTCCACCAGATTTTCAAGCTACCAGCAACAGAAAAGCACGCAGAGCTCAAGGTATCCTATGCCATTGCAGGACCATCAGATGAGAATGTGCCGACGATTCTCTTTGTTGTGGGAATGCTAGGAATCAGATGGCTGGCATTCTCCTTTGATCATGTGGCCATGGAAGAAGGAGTGAGAATGATTTTTATTGACAGGTGTGTGGCATTGCCATTTATGTTGCGAGGTGTTTGTATATGATCTGATTCTGGCTGCGCTCACTATTGCATTGTCCAGAGTCCAAGTATATATAAAAATTTGCGCGAAGATGTGGGCAGTCTATCGAAGGCACTCTCGTTTTCAATCTGATATTTCGAGTGTCCATGGGCCCAGTGGCTTGTAGATAATGAATCGCAATACCAGCCAATCAAAGAATTTAAGAATGGCTTACCCATGAAGCTACGAAACTATTTAAACTAATGCCCCCCTAGACCTGGTTTCGGGGGCTCTACCTCAGTTCCACTCCAAGACCGGTTGCTCATATATCTTGAGACAGTTCCTCTTCTCCTCAAGCACCTGAACATTGAGCACGTTTCTCTTGCAAGCCATAGTGCCGGGACTATATACGCTCTCAACATCATTGCCACTCTCCCTCATATTATCTGTCCCAAACGCCCCAGGATCACCCTGCTTTCTCCTTGGGTCCATCAAAACTTGTCATCGACAACCTTTCTTCAGATTGCTTCAAAGCTTCCCAATACTATGATCAATCATTGGAGCTCGGTTATGAATTTTGTTCTGAACAGTGCTACGCCAATGATAGCGAGTTCAGGGTCGGTCTTTTCTACTTTGGCAACTGGGGCTGCATCCCAGGTCGCGGCCGAACAGAAAGTTCGCAAGGCGTACGGTGTATCGAAAGAGACAAAGAAAGAGATGGATAGCCTAATCTTCAAGTGGGCATTTCAGGAAGATACGACAGGCCTAAATGATGAGGCTCGGTTGTGTTTGAAGAAAACAGACGACTGTAATTGGAATGCTTGCGAAGACTACGAAGACATGGTCAAAAACTTGGTAGAATTATGGACTCAAAGAGTTGAAAGGAATCAAAGTGCCCGGCTAGATGTCAAAATTTACTTTGCTGAAGAGGACATAATGATTGGCGAGAAGGGAAAAGAATACTTCCGAAAATGTTGGACTAGCGAAGATTGGACTGCGAATATCACTGTGAACTGTGAACAGTTGAAGGGTACAGATCATGACAGTGTCTTGGACCCTCTCAGGAGTATACGGGAGATTGCAAAAGCAGCGAGGCAGACGTTAGATTGAAGGTCCAATTCTAACCCATACGATAAGTGACACTCTCACCTGGCGTTGACAGGGAGTGTGGGCGCTATAGGCATTTTATGAATTCGTATGCACATATCAGTAGATTTTGAAATATATTAATGCATGGGAGGAAATTTTTTCGTCGACTATGGCACAGGTGTATGTTATTGAAAACATAATAGAGTAAAGAAACGTGCAGTGGCCCATGTCCTTTCTCTGATCTATTAAGCCTTGGATGCAACAATCTCTGTAGCTGTGTTAGTATTTGTGAATTATCAACGGTGAAAAGTTACATACTCTCGACATCAGCAACACTTTGCTGTAAGATTTGTTGCAAGACCTTGGGGTTCTCGAGCTCCTTCTGGATCTTGGAAATGATGCTTTCTGAGAGTTCCTTTTGTTGACGGATCTTGACTTGTCCCTCGTATCGGACCCATGAGTCGAGAACAGACTTGGCCTCAGCAGCGAGTGCGGTTTGTTGCTCGAGTGCGTAAGCCTTGGCCTCGAGTTGTGCAGTTTCCTGCAAGTTACGTTAGTAAGACTTCCCCGCAATATCCCATTCTCCACAACCCATCATACCTTTGAAACCTCGAAAAGAGTCTTAGTGATATCAACAACGCTGCCCAATTGTTGGACGCTCTCAATTCTAGTCTTGACGGCCTCAGTGTGGTCTGCACGGGCAGCATTCAAGATGTTCTTGATCTTATTGACTTGACCAGTGGCCCACTCAGAGTATAATGGTCCACCAAACTTAATGACAGATCCCCAAATGCTCAAAAGGCAGAACATAGCAACAGTTTCTTCGTTGACGACATAGTACTCGTTGCTGAGAGCGTACAGGGAAACTCCTCCGGCTGCGGAAAGAATAGCAGTCTTGGAAACGAGGGAGTTGCCTGGGAGAGAGTCGAGGAGCGATTGCGCCTTCTTCTTAGGGTCCTCTGCTGGTACATTGGAGGAAGATGATCGCGAACTTGAGATCGATGTGAGGGCCGGGAGGGTACGGGAAGAAAGAGCTGGTCGAAGACGAGCGGCCCCTACGTTGTGTCAGTCAATTGCGGCCAGTAGCAACTGTGGCGTATTTCTCAAATCCATATGTGCGACATACCTAAGGCGCTTCTTGTCAATAGTCTTGATGCCATTTTGATATGAGGGGAGGTATTGCACAGCAGCTCAAATTGCTTGAAAGGCTTGAGACGAGGTTCTTTCGGAATTCGCTTCCCACCTCACTTTGAAGTTTCTTATGTAAAGATGCCTGAGGACCTCACAAATATTTTGGGTTTTATCTCGATAAGAGAAATAAATTTCTAGAGAATTGGTAAAAGTAAATTTCATCACATATTTAACAATGCCTGGCGCAATTCTTGATCCAAAACCTTCCTCAAAAAGGAAGAGAGCTGTATCGGAAAAAGGGCCTTCGAAACGCGCACGATCCGAAGATAGTGAAGAAGATCCACAGGCGCAAATTCTCCTCCTAGAGAGCGAAATCTTCGGGTCGAAGAAGCATTATAACAACATTGCGAGGCTAATTGGCATTGCACGAGATGATTCTGAAGGTGCTGATGCGTCGATTCTCGCCGCGGTATCGTTATGTCGGGTTTTCACAAAATTAATAGTAGTTGGGGGTTTACAGAAAACCAAAGAGACTTCCGTGAAGGACGCAACTGTGATCCAATGGCTCAAGGAAAGATATACAGAATACAAGATTATCCTCCTTGATATGTTGAGCCAAGAAGATACCGCATCCACAGGATTAACTCTTTGCATGAGAATGTTGAAGATTGAAGGGCAGCATCTGCGGAACGGTCAGGATTACTGTTTTCCTACAGGCCTTCTTGCGGATATGGTCCAGGTTCTCATTCGCCCCGGGAGTGATAGTACTGCTAGGAAAGAATTTAGTGACAAGTTTGTTGAGGAATACGATGATGTTAGATTTTACACACTTGAAGCTATAGAGTAGGACTGCCTTCCTGCTACATATTCGCGATTACTGACGTTTTCAGAAAACTGGTTACGGCCCCCGAGGCTAGAAGCTCAGGCAATGATTCATTTAATACCGTCTATGAGATTTTAACATCGATATCATCAGTTCCTGAATCCAAGGACGAACTCGAAGATTTTTACATTCCCGCACCGAAGAAAAAGTCGCACGCACTTCACTCCTTAACGGAACATAAGAAGCGAGCGCAAGGAGCATGGTTAGCGGTGATGAATATGAAGATGGTAAAAGAAAGGAGAAAAATGATCCTTTCGAAAATTACCGATTTCATTGCGCCATGGTTTACCAAACCCGAACTTCTAATGGACTTCCTGACTGACTCATACAATTCTGGGGGATCAACTTCGTTGCTGTCACTCTCTGGCGTCTTTTATCTCATCCAAGAGAAGAATCTAGACTACCCATCGTTCTACAGGAAGCTTTATTCGCTGCTCGACACGGGCATTCTGCATTCGAAGCATCGCTCAAGATTTTTCCGACTTTTGGATACCTTTTTATCATCAACACATTTACCTGTAGTACTTGTAGCAAGCTTTATCAAGAGGCTATCCAGACTCACTTTACACTCCCCTCCATCTGGCGTCGTTGCTGTTGTGCCGTGGATCTATAATTTATTGAAGAAGCACCCGACGTGTTTATTCATGATCCACAGGGAGACTAGAGGGGCTGAAGCGAAGAAAGTTTTGGAGGAAAAGGGGCTTTCAGATCCATTCCTGATGGATGAGGAAGATCCGATGTTGACCAATGCAATCGACAGTAGCTTGTGGGAAATTGTCACTCTGCAATCACATTATCATCCCAACGTTGCCACACTTGCCAAAATCATTTCGGAACAATTTACCAAACATTCATACAACTTGGAGGATTTCCTGGATCACTCTTACGGAAGTGTAAGTCAACATGTACCTTATGTGCAGCAGATTTACTAACAAAGTGATATAGATGCTTGAATCCGAGTTAGCAAAGGATGTAAAGAAGGTGCCGGTTGTTGAACATGAGATACCCAAGAAAATATTTATGAAGCATGATGCAGATGCTGGTTTGGAAGATTCCCTACTTGTGAAGTTGTGGAGCTTCAGTTAGATCCTACGAATTTTAGTGTTTCTAACCTACATCGAAGTATCTTTGCTCAAAGGTATCGTGAAGAATGGCATTTCTCTATGTAATCACCGAGAACAAATTGGAGGTGGAGCAAAACTAATGAAGGGGTTCATATAAATCTCACATACAATTTCGAAGCTGGGCTTTCTCATTCAACAAAAATAATGGAGAAAAGGCTCCTTTTATCCCTCAAGTGTCTATGCTTTCCGAAAATTACATACATAAATAGCGAAGTTTATAATCCAGGTATCACAAATAATTACCTGACCATATTAAATCATGTGTACAGAGAGCTTCAGCAAAACAATCAGAACAATTGATCAATATATCCTTGCGTGATAACCTTGCATACCTAGAATACTAGTCCAAATGCGCCCCTTTCCACAGCATAAACAATTCAAGCATAGACATTCAAGAACTCAAAAGATCCACGGCAGCGACAATCTGCTATTCTGCGACAGAATATAAGCCTTGCATGCCTTGTAATTGAACATTGATCAGTAAGTAATGGCAGCCATCCTTGGCAACCGCTGCGGCTGGAAAGCCACCCACTGCACATTCATTCAGTAGTAATTTCATTCAATTCCACAAGGCTATATACCTGCGCAGACAATACAGTTTCTATTCCAAACAACAACTTTAGATTTTCGAACTAACATGACAAAATGCCTCTTCTTGATTTACTAAAGAAAAAAGATAGAACCGCAGGAAATGATGCGCATTCTCCGCGCGCCGATCCAGAAGCTGGTCCAGTTTTCACATTCATGAGAAGTGTAAGCCTGCTGCTACACCCAGTGTACCAACTTATACCTCACTGCTACAACATGGCTAACATGGCACAAGGATACAAATACACAAGAAGTAATATCACCACCAACTTTCTCTCCTTCGGAATCATCCCTGCAACCCTCGGTGTCAGTGAACAAACCGAATAATGAATCGCGAACCAGTCGATTGTTTGGAGGACGGCCCAGGAGCAACTCGCACGAATCTGGAAACTCGGGCACATCTGGCGCATCAATTTCTTCACATGTTAGTGATAGATCTACGTCGAAATCAGTACACAATAGCAAAAGAATATCGGAACGTTTTGGTTTGCGCAAGCATGAGGTAGGATCGTCGCATGTTCCCAGTGATTTACCGGAGATTACAGTGGAAGAGGCCGCGATAGGTGATAAAAATGCGGAAGTGCAATGGGAGAAGAGAGCTACAATATTGGCACAGCAGAATGAGAGGACAATAAGTAGACCAGGCTCATCCTGTGGCAGTCCACCAGGTCACAGGAACAGGAATTCTGGAGAAATCCCAAGGGCATTAAGTCCGGGAAGAAACCCTTCGGGCGTGGTTGCTACCAGAAATGTGGATGATGATCTCCAGGAAGCTATTCGGCTTCATGAGGAAGGGCACTTGGAAGAAGCAACAAAGCTATTTGAAGTATTGGCAGACCCTCATGGTGCCAATAATGCTCTTTCTCAGGTCTTATATGTAAGCTCTACTTGGTTTATTTCTATCACAATTTCACCTGACATAGACTTGGTGAAGCTTTAGCTAGCTCCCCAACTCTATCAACTTTGTTTTCTTGGACTTTGCCAGACTTGCCAACAAAGATTTCGGCCAGAGGCACACTCCGGTCCAATTGCTAATATTCAATACAGGGTCTTGCTCTCAGGTACGTCAAGACGACCCTTTATGCGGCCTATATTACGCCGCCTGATTGAGGACTCAGTCGCTCTCTTCTGAATCTTGATTGTTACCATTTCGGGGTTTGACTAACCATATAGACATGGCTGGGGATGTCAAGCCAGTCCAGCCGAAGCCGTCACGTACCTTTCGGCAGCAGCATCAAATGCAGCAGCAAGTATGTACCTACCCTGAGTATCCCGTCAAGTTTCACCTATGTTCC